ATGATATCTAGGCTCTTTATGGTAGTGTGGTTATTTTTTAGATTTTAGATTTATTTTAGATTGTCTGTCTTTGGTTTATTTCTAAGGCAGTTTTTTCCTGATATGTGACACATTATATTCCCTTCTCTTTTTTTTCTTTTGATTTTGTTTTATAATTTTTTTTATTAACTCATTCAGTCATTTTTTTTGGTCCATTCCAGTTTTTAGGGAGTCTCTTATTTGTAGAAGATTTTTGCAGCTCCTGTAAGCAACAATTTATTCTCCTTGCAGTGTTTTTTTTTTCCTTCTGGAGTTCTCATTTCATTCACAATATTCTTTCTTTTTTACCTATTGTTTCATTTCTTCTAAAAATTCTACTAGACCTTGTGAGCAAACCATACCTTTATCTAAGGCTTTGTCTAGAGTTGAGTTATTCTCCTCCTATAGGTTTTGTCCTGGATTCCCTAGATGTATAAATTATCTTTATCATTGATGTCTTCTGTTTATTAATATTTTAAGCTTTCTTTCTTAAATTGGGATATCTTTGGCAAATCTAATCTCTGCCTGCTCCTACACACTTGGGTGGGATGGTAGGCACCTGTTTCATCTCAATGCATAGTGTCTGGGGTTCAGTTGCTGGCCTTCCCCTCCATTGGTGTCTGTTGCACAAAGTTCTGGTAGGTCTCAGGCTCACCTGTATCTTCTAGACACAGAGCACTGAGCTCTTCAAGGCTGTCACGGGTAACTCAGGTTAAGAGCTATGAACTTTCAGAGGACTTGTGTTCTGAAGACTTAGGCCTGAGAATTTATTGCTGCCCTCTCAGTAGGAACTTTGCTGGCTTCCCTCCTTGCGTATTCTCTAAGATGCTTCATCCTGGAACCTCCTGGCTAGAGTACTCTATCTTCTGGTCTTTTCTGTGGCCATGAGTTTACCCATCTTGAGGCTTCTTGCATGAACCTATCAAAGGTAGATCCATAAGGGATGGGAACCAAGACTGACCCCTCCTTGGTTACAGTTCCTGCTGACCTAGGCTGGACAAGGGTAATCACCTGTCAAGTCCTGAAATAAATGAAAGCCATGAGTTGAGAAATAATGCATCTGTAATTGAGACAGTAGGGTAGCAAACCTGCCACCCTGGGGGATATCCAATGGATTTCCCAACTCTAAGATCCATGAAAAAGGTTCTTACACATTCAGGAGAGGCGGAGAAGGCTGTAGGAGGTAGCAAGTCCTAGTCATGAGACCCCAGTGGCCCTTGGCAATCTGGGAAAGGAAAGCCATTTCATTCTGGCTGTTTTGCCCTTTGTGCCACGAATCCCAGGGTAAGGGGCCAAGAATGCTAGAAACTGAGATTCAGCTTGATCTGGGCTCCCAATAAGGTAACATCCCTGGTGCGGGGGGGGGGGGGGGGGAGGATGGCTAACCGTGGGTATGGCTCAGCTCAACCTAATCAGGAGTAAATATCTTAAGAGTAGAAACACAAGGATAATAATGAAATTCTGACATTACAAGGATCATTTAAGAGAGTGGCAGTCCATATTACCTTTGGTATTAACAACTAACAATTCAATTCAATTCAATTAATTAATTAATTAATTAAAAATTTAATTAAATTTGGTATTAATAATTTTCAGTCACATCATAGTTATTCTCTTTATTTCTAATCATTATTCAGGCTGGTGGTCTTTTGTTTTATTGTTTCTGGAGAAAACTTGAGGGAATTGGGTTCTTTTGGTCCCATTCACTCTGCCATCCTCAGTGGAAATCCGAGTCTGGTACTTACTAAATCATAATATTTGATCATGTTTGTACAACATTTTGTGTTGCGGCATGGTGAACAAAGAGATAGACTTAAAGTCCAGGAGATCTGGGTTCAAATCCCACCTCTGAGAATTGCTAAATTTGTCACCCTGAAAAAGTCACTAATCCTCTCAAAGCCTCAGTTTCCTCATCTGTAAAGTGAGGTTAATACTAGCACCTACCTCACAGGGTAGTTGTGCAGACCCAATGAGATGGCAGATAAACAGACAGACAGATATAGATGCATACATTTGCACATGGAAGTGCTTTGTAGACCTTGAAAGACAATGGAAATGTGAGTTGTTACATTATTATTATTATTATTATTATTACTCATCCCACTTTATTCACCATAAGATAGGAAGTAGGTGGTACAAGTATTAGTTGTTCTCATTTTTTGGATGAGGAAACTGCTGCTCGTGGAAGGGAAGTGGCTTGGCCAAGGTCACAGCTACCAACCGGCAGTGGCAGACTCAAACCCGTGTTCTCCGACTCGGGCTCTTTCTGCCCACTGCCATGCAGTGCCGCACTGAGTGCTCTGCAAGCTTCACAGCTCAAGTTCCCACCTGGTGTCCTGCCTCACCATCCAGCTCCGCTCCAGTCTCCTCAGAGGCACTTTTTTTTTTTGCCTTGCTGTTATCACAAATTCTCCATAATAACAAGATTGCTTTGTTTACAATGGCATCATCTTGCCAAACATTTGCATCCCTAATGTAATTAAGTACTCCTGCAGAGGGTAACGTATTCTCCCCTAATCTTCCTCCTGCAAACTTCCATTTCTGCACTAGGGACAAAATGGGATCTTTGCTGTTAGGAGACTTTTTGGTACCTTATGTAGGGGAGGAGCGACATGTCCCTTGGGGCTATTGTCCATAGCCTTGCCTGGCATGGAGCATCACTCTGCCCCTTGGATAATCAGTAACATTCACAAAATGGCTCTTTTCTCCAGGTCTTCTGTCTGCTCCTGCCTGTCAATCGGAGCATTGCAGAGTGACCAAGAAGAAGCCGGAAGTCGATGGATATTTGTTGATAAGGATGAAGGTGAGATGATTTAATTCAAATCAACGCAAAAAGCCCTTATTAAACACCTCCTGCTGAGCCCTGGATTGAGTGTGGAGAATAAGGAGACAGAATTGAAATCCTTCCTGTCCTCTAGAAGCTTACGTTCTGCTGATGAGCCAGTCCCTGCGCATTTTGAACCACAATGCCACAAAGTACTAACCAGCTCCCAGTCAAAAAGTAAGCTGGTTTACAGTCAAGATAGGTATGTTGTATTATATTAAAATAAGAAATAGATCTGTACCAAAAGTAATCAGAATACAAAAAAATAGATTGAAAACCTTTGTGGCAATTATGATGAGGAAAAACTTGATCTCTAAAATATGTATGGGGATCTGTTAAAAAAAAACTTATAAATATTTATAAACATTGGGGCAGCTAAGTGGCACAGTGTATAGAGCTCCGGTCTGGGAGTCAGGAAGACCTGAGTTCAAATCTGACTTCAGACGCTTGACATTTACTAGCTGTGTGACCTTAGGCAAGTCACTTACCCCCAACTGCCTAAGCCTAAAAAAAAAATTATAAATATTACTTTCAGTGTTCGGTGAAATTAAAGACACAAACAGAAAATTGTCATAAGGAAATACAAATTATTGATAATTATTTGGAAAATGCTCAACTTCACTAATAATCATAAAAAGCAATTTAAAATAAATTTGAAGGACTACCTCCCATCCATCAATGCTGGTGGAATTGTGGAAGAGGTAGGTACAACCCATGCGTTATTGGTAGAATTGCAAACTGTTCATATTGTTTGGGAGAGCATCCTGGCTATATACAGAAAAAGTTACCAAAATACCCATCCTCAATAAATCCATTAGTGGGAATATACCCTGAAAGTTTGAACAAAAACAACCAAAAAAGCACTATCTGTTCAAAGACGCTCTTAGCTCCTTGCAAAGAGGGACCATTTCACTCTTTATACTTGTGTCCCCATCACCTAGTACAGTGTCTGGCATGTAGTAGTCAATTAATAAATGCTTGTTGATTCATTGATTAACGACTTATTTTTAATTACAAACGTCCCGTGATAGGGGAATAGTTACATAAATTGTAGTACGTTATTGTACTGGGAAGGGAACACACATTTATTAAGCACCTAATGATGGAGTATGGGCTCAAGCTGAGACCTTTGCCCCTCACCCCAAAAAGATTTGGGGTCCTATTTGTCTATGGGCCCCAGAAAGACCCTTAAGCTTTCCTTGAACTTTCTTACTTGGTCAAAGAAGTCTGAAGGGGTTGCCTGAAGCTATAAGCCACTCCACTGGCCATTCCTTATCTGTCTAGGCCCAATCTCCCAGTTCTTTGTTATCCTAATTAAGCCTAGCCCTCCATGGATGACCCCATGCAACCTCCCAGACACTCCCATCAGGATTGGGGGGGGGGGAGGCAGCTAGGTGGCACAGTGGATAGAGCCCCGAAGTCAGGAGGTCCTGAGTTCAAATCTGGCCTCAGACCAAACACTTGTCACTTACTTGCTGTGTGACCCTGGGCAAGTCACTTAACCCCAATTGCCTAAAACAAAAAAAAAAAAAGGATTCTCCCAGGACCCTTCCCCCCCAGTCACCCCAGCTTCAAGACCCTCCCTAAACTCCTCCTCCAGTACTGGCCACTCCCATGAAGACACCACTTCTCCCAGCCTCCCCAAAACTGCTTGACCATTCCCAGATCCCTCTCATAGTCTTTCTGTATATAAGATCCTGAAAGGGGATGAAGGATGATTTCAGTGGCCTGAGGACCTGCCAACAAGGAAACCCTCTGATCCAAGCAGATTGTCACTTACTCTGTAATTGAGAGGGTAGCAGCCTGGAACACTGAGTCACACACCGTGTCAGGGGCAGGACTTGAACCCAGGTCTCTCTGACTCCCAGGCTAGTTTTCTATCCCAACTACTGATTGTCGCATAAAAATGACTTTGCCTACATTGAGAATCACTGATTTAAAATTAAATAGCAGCAAAGCAGATCAGAGTGGCTGTATTGGGGGTTGAAATTAAGTTTATAATGAATCATTTAATTAACTAAATTAGCCAAAAATAATTAACTAAAATGATTCGGTAATTTAGGGTTGTGGAGCTATTTTGCTGTGGTGTTTACTCACACGATCCTCCCTAACCCCACCCCACACACCCAAACATGCACACACACACCACACACACACACACCCCACACACCCTATAACATACAGATACACAGACAGATGTTTTTGGTAAATACTTTCTAAAATAGCTGGAGTGAAATAATATAGTGAACAGATAGAGGAGTAGCTGGGCCTGACCCAAGGAAAGTTCAGTAGCTAGTGCACTGGAGACAGAGTTTCCCATTCCTCACTGGGAGGCTGAGAAGGCAAGACAGCTAAGGGCTTGAGAAGGGCAGTCAAAGAGCCGGGAAGACAGGCCAGGGACTCCGCTGCCCAATAGCCAGGATTAATAATCAGAGTCAATAAGGAAATGAAGGCTCAGGCCTCCCACCAGCCAGGACCCTTCCTGCCAGCTCAAGCCGTGGCCTGTCCCGGATCAGCATCAGAGCTCTGAATCGCCATCCAAACCGTGGCCCTTATGACCTGTGTGACCTTGGACAAGACACTCTGAGCCACCCTCTCCCCATGGGCTGCTCCAGCCAGCTTAGGAAGGTCCCGTAACAGACATCTGCCAAGTGCTGGAGATAAGGACTGGGGAAGGGGAAGCAGGGAGAGCAGATCACGGATGAGCACATAAGGAGAAGAAATACTTCAATAACTATGAAAGCCACTCAGCTGTGATGTCCTACCTGTCAGCTCCCATGATGATGTCCCAGAGGCAGATGGATGGCACAAATGTGTCATTTTTAAACATGGTTACAGACTGGAAGGATGGAGGGCAGAACGTGAGAGAGAATTGCTAAGGTGAGATCATTTTTTTTAGACTCATGGAATTTGGGGAACTGAAAAAAATCTTTAAAAATAGATGAAGCAAAATCTCCAAGCTGGCATCTAGAATGCCAATCCAAAATTTCCCAACAAAGGGCTCTCCAAATGCTTTTATCAATCCACCAACAAACATTTGTTAAGCACGTACTGTGTGCCAAGACACGGTGCTGAGAGCTTTAGTGAGCTAGACTCTGGAAACAAAGGAAGCAGATCATGGTCACTGGTGAGTAACAGACTCCTCTGTCCATGCAACCACACCAATTACAGGGCGTGGCTACCCAAAGCAGGCTGGCTCGGGGAAGTTTTGTTGGCCAAGCAGAGATGGAGGCAGCCCCTCTCACTGAAGGAAATGGAAGGATTTCCATGACAAAAGTAGCATATTCCTCAAGGCCACTTACTCTACCCCATCTATGTTTTTCTGATTCTTTCTTGAAGATAGAGGTGATCCCGGCAGAGCATAATAAGACTGTCGGGTCCTGTTGAGATAAGAAAACACAGAGGATGAGCCTGGTCTGTTTTTCTGTCGTCCCAGCTTAGCTGAACTTGGGGAGAGAGGGTCAAACATTGGTTGGGTGGGGAGGGGTGCTTTGTTAGCCGCATCAACTCACAAAGATCCCCAACAACCTCGTGAAGCGTGTAAATTGACTCACACCCATGAAATTAGGAGGATGAAGCTGGGGCCAGTCAAAGATGCAAGCCCTCATTCAAATGTTTTTGAGAAGAGTCTCCTACACTGCACTGAGCACCCATCCATCCCAATGAATGTAGAAGACTCCACTGTAGGTGACAGCCAGCTTCATGTTCCACGTGGTTGGCCTCTGCTTCCCTGTGATGGCTCCCCAGTGATCTCTGGGTGTTCTTCACAAATCACGTGAAAACACCATCTTTCAAATGTACCTCTGAAAACTGATTCATTTTACATGAAAACTGTGCTGTTTAGGTCTATATAATAAAAATGTAAAAACGTGTTGACTAGCCCACTAGCGCTTAAATCGTTTGGGTTAATACCTCCCCCACTACTCCTCATGGAGGCTCTGGAACATAACCCAACTGAAGATACCGTTTTCTACACTGCCAGGATGTTTCCATCCCTGCCTTTTAAATGCATGCTTCTGCTTCTAAAAATACACGGGATCATCACTTCAGATAGTCCAAAGCAATGAAAGCGTAGTACCATGAAGTCCTGGAAACGGCCCTTTGACTCCTCTTGATAATGGTCAAAAGTTCAGGAGAAACAGTAAGCAAGCAACAGAAGACCATCTGGAAAGCCGGCCAAGCCGAGTCTCATTTGCAGGCGGCAGTTACGCAGTAATGCTGCAGGCCAACATATGACTCGGGCGGACATGTAGAGAGCTCATAAGTCCTACAGAAAGACAAGGCTTGAAATGAGACTGTTCAGAAGGAAGCAGCCCTCATAAACTGAAGGCAGCTTTCCACTGCTACAGGCTGACATTACATCCATCAGGAAAATGAAACCACTGTCTCAGGGAACAAAGATAAAAAGTGAGGGTCTCAGTAATGGAAAAGAAAGCTCAAGGTTGCTCTAGAGCCCTCAAAATGGAAGACAGAGGGCTACGATGGGAAGGGGGGTGGGAGCATTCATGTCCCTAACGGATGCTGAGGGCACAGGCTGGACACACCCCTCTGCCCGGTGAGACCAATGCACTTCCCTCCATTCTGGAGATGTGCCCAACGAGACATCCTAGGAGCTACCCATGGGGACAGAGGGAGGGTTCAGGCCTCCCCCCACCCAGGATCCTTCATGTCAGCCCGAGTCCTGGACTGGAGTCAAACTTCTGAATTCCACTCCAAACTCTATCTCTTATTTCCAAACCACACTGATCCTCCATGTCCTCATCAGACCACTGGGCATAATAATGGTCGTTCTACCTCAGTCCTCTAATCTGGGAGACAACATCTATGAAGCACTCAGTGAGGACTTCACACAAGGCCTCAGCATTCCCTTCAGGAAAGACAAGCACTGTTTATAACAAACCTTTGTGACTTTCCACATCCTTCCAGAGCAGGGAGGCAACAGATGGACATCATTCCTTCAAATGCCAAGGTGGTATTTCAAAGATATCCATGAAGAAACATCCAATTAAAGGAGAATTAGTGTTGGTTTCCAACTCTCTCTCTCTCTCTCTCTCTCTCTCTCTCTCCCCCTCCCTCCCTCTCTCCTGGGAGTAAGCAAGTAAGTGGTAATTAAGGTGATTTTTCTTGAAAGGGAGCATCTGCATTGCCCAAGGCTGACCACAGACAACAATCTTCACCCTGAGTTTCTGAGGGAGTCAGGAAGGATGGGTGGTTTTGACTGGCCAAGCAATAATGCAGTTACAGATGTCAGAGAATCAAGTGTATTTGGAGCCTGACCTAGACCTAAGGCACAATCTCCTGGGCAAGATTCCCACATCCAGCCTCTTCTTAAATATCTTCACAGCTGGGAAGCCCCCTACCACTCAGGGCAGACCCCTCAACTCCTGCATGACTATAAGGGTTAAGAAACTTTTCTTTATATTAAACCCACATTTTTCTCTTTGAGATTTCAGCCCAATGCTATTAGGCCTGCATCCTTTGGGACCAAACAGAAGCATGATGATACAGTAGTAAGAGCACTAACTCAAGAGCCAGAGGACCTGGGTTCAAATCCTCCCTTGGACACTTTCTTTGTGGCCTCGAACAAGGCATTGTGGTTGAAACATCCTCAGAATCTTGCTGACTCTCCCCACCCAGAACAGACTGACCCTGCCACCCACATCAGCTCATGGACGTCCTGGGGTGACAGGACAGTCTGCCAAGCATAATGGCTTCAGTGCGACCTCCCCTCTTGTCTGAGGTTCTCCTTACATTTCCTTTTCACATGGTCGTTCTATCACCTGGCCTTTTGGAGGCTGTAGACTTGTTGGGATTTTTTGTGGGTTTTTTTCACTGCTCCTGGTGCTTTCTCGTGCAGCGTCATAGTAGGAGGCTGGAGCCAGCCATACTGGCTCTTGAGAGACAGTTGTTAAATTTTCCATATGAGCATTTATGCTTAGAAATCAGTAAATGCTACAAACCCAGGCTTGATTTATTGTTCTGTCTAGACTAAGAAAATAATAGGAAAAATGTTAATAGTGACGATTAGCCTTAAAAATGTGTCTTGTGCACATCTTTTTCTGAAGAACTGGTTGTTAGACATCTACCAGCACACCCCTACCTTGGGATAAACTCTTTCTTAGTTTCTCTGCTTTTTTACAGGATTAGGTGAACTTCTTACCACTTAGAGGTGATGGAGGGCAGCTGGGTGGACCATCTTATCAGAGAATTTCCAGGCTTTATTCCAGTTCAGTCTTTCACCCTCCAGCCTTTCCTTCCAGTCCCTGGGATGATACAGGATCAGGAAAACAAGCTGTCCCTGCCCCACCCCCCAACTTCAAGGACAAGGTGCTGTCCCTTTGGCGCTAGGCTGCCAAGATGCTTTTATATTCTGGTAACTTAAATACTCTTCTTAAAATTGGTATTGGAATTCTTACTTCTTCCAATCTGATAAAAGACTCTATATTTCCCATAAAGCTGTTTGCTCAAAGTCTTCGGCATCCTGAAGGGCAATCCATTGTTCTAATGCCCTACGTCCAGCGATTCATCATGTGGAGAGTGCACCACTAATCACCCCCTCTAGTTTGCATCTGCCATCACTCTTCTCCTTTATTCTATCGGAGCCCATCAGGGCTCATTTATGTTAAGCGTGACTTGGTTATAGAGAAGCCAACTCCAGATAGCCAACCACACACAGTGCCTCCTAGCACCCCAGCCAGGGGAAGCAGCCAAAGCATGGCTGTTTTGCGGGTTTCCCAGGGGCGATGCTTAAGGGGGACTAGCACATACAAAACATGAAAGGTTAGGCTATATCTGGTGTGGGAACAAAAATATTTTAAAACTCTACTCTCCATGTCTGTGCTGAACTAAGGAGAGTCTTAGATCCAGTACAGATACTTTTTTTTTTTTGGAAATGTAATGTACTTGAAAGAAAGCAGCCCTTTCCAAGGGCAAAATTGGTCCCTGATAGAAAAAAAAAATCAATTCAAAAACTTTCAGGGGATAATAATGTAGTATTTTGACCATCGACTACCTCCTGTGGGACCATACTTTCATTGATCTGATGCTAAATAAGATTTGGGGTATCATCTCCCCCTCTTGGGGCAAAAATAAAGTGTGTATAAGAAAAAGCAATAGATAAGAATTTGATTTTGTTGCTTATAAGCCTTATTCCATAATCTCTAAGCAGAATAGAGCCCTAGCATTAAAGAACTTGAAACTTTTTGTTTTGTTTTGTTTTTTGGTACAGCAAATAAAGTTCTCCAGACAGTGGTCTACTTCTCTATTTTTAAACCAGCTCCAAATAGTTTTGGTGATTAAAACAAATTTCATAGACAAAAACAAATAAACAATTCTGAAAGTCTCACCTTATACCCAGCAAATTTGCAAAGATGCAAAAAAAAAATGGAAACAACCAGGGTTTGTCCAACCATTCTGGAAAACAATTTAGAATTTTATATCCTTTGAACCCCACAACACATTACTGGGTTTATACCCTAAGGAGGTCAAAATGAGAAACAAGCAAGCAAAATGCCAAAACATTCAGGGCAGCACTTTTTGTAGTGATGGAGAACAAGAGGGATGCCCATTGATTTGGGAACAGCTGAACTAGTTGATGAATAGAATAGAATGTTATTGTGCTGGGGGGAAAGCATAGGGAGAATTACATGCAATGATTGGAGAGAACAGAACCAGAAAAAATGTACAGAATGATTGTTGGTCCCTGTTTCAATCCTCTACAATTCTTCGTGACCCCATTGGGGGTTTTCTTGGCAGAGCTACTGGCGCTGTTTGCCACTTCCTTCTCCAGCTCATTTTAGATGAGGAACTGAGGCAGACAGAATTAGGTGACTTGCCCAGAATCACACAGCTAGTAGGTGTCTGAGGCCAGATTCGAACTCACAAAGATGAGTCTTCCTGACTCATAATGACTACAACCATATTAATGGAAAACTTTCAGGAAGCAAAGTTGCATTCTGATTAATTTTAATGAGTAATCTTGATGCTGAAAAAAGATGATGAAATATATATAGCATCGTCCTTTTAGCAAAGAGGTAGAGGACTATGATGGCAGAATGTTGTCTACTTTACCAGCTCTTTACTACATCACTTGCTTTTGGGCTGTGTCTCCTCTCTGCCGTTGGCTGAAGCCCCCACCAATTTTGTCTCCCTCATTTTAGAGGCCCAGTAACTAGCACCCCAGTTCCATTTAATCATTTAACATCAGGTTAGCTTTTGCAAATGGGTATTTACTTCAGAGATGTAGCAAGAGCAAGCATGTAAACATCTTCCCCAACACTTCAAGAGTTTAATACCCTGCCCTCCGCAATACACACACACACACACACACACACACACACACACACACACAAAACACCTCCATCTCTGGGGAGACAAGGGAGATTAACCTCAAAGGTGGGCTCTGAACTTTCTACATGGCATTAGTCGTACCAAATTCAAGTCTAAAGCCAGTGGTGCTGGCTTCTGCTCAGCTCACACCATAGACCCATGCTTTGTTAGTGACTACAACACCGGTTCTAGATTCCTGTACTCCCAGATCCCCTTGGTCCAAGCTCCCAGGCTGGAGCCTTCCCTGGTTGTACATCGAATGAAGAAGAATGAAAGAAAACTCCCAAACCCTAGTGCTATTTCTTGGGACCTCATAGTGGGGGCTGGGGAATGAGGTGGCCCACACCCCTTTCCCATAATCACATCATTCTTTAGTTCTTTACCCTCAGGCACCAATGCAGGTGAGACTCCTGAGTTACTGAGTCAGGCCATTTTAAAGAACTACACTGTCCACAGAGAAGGCTACTCCAACCACCAGGTAGGCAAACAGAGAATGTCAATGCACAGGAGCCTCCAGTCTCCAGAAAGCAGAGGAGCAGGTCTCCAGGACCTTCCCCATGGATGGAGGGTTCCATTTTAGGTGTTGTAGGATTGGCCAAATCCCCAAGTGAGGAGAGACAGAGAGAGAAAGAGAAGGGGGAGGGAGACACAGAGAGAGACACTGAGAGGCAGAGGGAGAAAGAGACAGAGAGTCAGAGAAGGGAGAGGGAGGAGAAGAGGAGGAAAGAGAGGAAACATGGGTGGAGGAAGATGGACAGGGAGAAGCAGAAGAAAGGGGAGACAGAGAGGAAAGAGAGGTAGAGGGAGGGAGGGAAGATAATGCATAAAGAGGAGCTGGAAGGTGGGAGGGGGAAGAATATCCATACGGTTCAATGTGGCAAGTAAGCAGGTGGAGAAGCCAGGGGAGGAAGGAGAGCCAGGAGTGAAGTGAGCGTGGCTGGAGCCCCTCATGAAATACTAGTCCTGGAGCGGAGGAGAGTTCTAGCCAAGATGGCCTCCTGAACTCAGGCAGATCCCACAGAGCCTATTGCCCTATTTGAGCAAAAACCTTAAATTTGTATGCAATTGGATAACAATGAAGAAATCTAATGAGAAGTGGGGGAAGCGACTTCTTCCATCACCGACCAGCAAACAAAAGGCAGGCAGCATCCCCAGGCAATAGGAAAGGAAACAGTCAGCATCCCCCCAGCAAGATCAGAGATCCATGTAGCCCACAGGGCTGGCTCTGTGTCTGAAGGCAGCAAAAGCTGAGGTTTCTCCTGACCCAAAGAAGCCCCAGGGTGGGAACCTGGGAAGTCCCATGGATCTGGATTTCCTAATACAAGGCAGCATCACTCAGACCAGGACATCCCAGACACATAGGGTCTCAAGTCCCCAGTGTTCTGTTCTGAGATGCCAGAGAGGGTCCTGGAGATACAATGTTCAGAATCCCAAAGATCTGGGTAGAGCTTTAAACCCCGGATGAGAAGGTCAGTGTAGAAATCAAGGGCAAAACCCAGCAGGGATAATTCCCCTCTCACCAAAAAAAGAAGAAAATAAACAGTTATGTAGCACCTACTATGTGCCAGGCACTGAGCTAAGTGCTTTACAAATATTACCTCATTTAATCATTTAATTGAATTTAATCATTTAATTAAAAGCATAGAAGAGAATGCTGTAAAGCCCTAATCCAAGAACTGAAGCTAGAAAGATGAGTAAACCAATGAAGATATCGACCAATACTAAAGATTGTTACAAACCTAGAAATCCCCAAAAGAAGGGAAAATACTCCACAACAACTACCAGCAGATGCTCAAAGGAGAAAAATGGATTTCCAGCAGTATTGTATGAATACCTAGAAGAAATTAAGCAAGAAATATAAATGAAATAAAAGTTCTTGAGTAAAGAAATGGAAGGAAAATGAGTAGCTTAGAAGAGAAAGTGGCCAACCTTTCCCAAGCAATCAATCCTCTGAAAACTCAAATAGTCCAAATAGAGATCACTGACTTCATGAAGCAGCAATAAATGTTAAAACAAATTCAAAAGTTCAAAAAACAATAGAAGAAAATATAACATATCTGACATAAAATATAGGAGACCTAGTAAACCAGGAAACCTGGTAAATTATGAATCAATGGACTCTTTAAAACCTTGATTAAAAAAAAGAAATCCTAGACACTATATTTCAAGAAATCATAGATGAAAACTCCCCAGATCTATTAGAACCAGATGGTAAACTGAAGATAGAATCCATCAATAATCTCCTGAAAGAATCCTCAAAAGGAAAAGTCCCAGAAATGTCAGAGCTAAAATATAGACCTCTTATGTCAAAGAAACAATACTACAGACATCCAGAAAGAAGCAACTTAAATTCCAAGGTGCCATCAATCAGGATCACAGAAGATCTAGCAGCTTCTGCAATAAATGACAGGTGATCATGGAATACAATATTCTGAAAGATAAAAGCTAGAGACTCACAACCAAGAACAACTTAACCTGCAAAACTATGTTCAGTCAGTGGGGTGTAGAGTGTGGGGGAAGGCAAAAAGGGAGAGGAGGACCTGTTATGGAAGGTGAGGTATTAATAGTGAAGATGATACTGGGGAAGGAATGGCTGAAAGTAAAACAAATTTCTTGAGATTAAATAAGTTGAAAAAAGAAAAGAAAAGAAAAGAAAAGAAAAGAAAAGAAAAGAAAAGAAAAGAAAAGAAAAGAAAAGAAAAGAAAAGAAAAGAAAAGAAAAGAAAAGAAAAGAACTACCACCTAAAGGGATGTTCCTCATTTGAGGAATGGCTAAACAAATTGGGGTATATGAAGGCAATTGAATATTATTGCTCTGTTAATAATGGCAATTTCAGAGAATCCTGGGTGGTACGAACTGAGACAGAGTAGAGTGAGCAGAAGCAGGAAAACAAACTTAGACACAGACACTGAGACTGTAAAAACAAACACCTTTAAAAGACTTAAGAACTGTGACTGAGGCAATCACCAACCATGTCTCCAGAGGACACACAGTGAAGCATGTTATCTGTATCATGGCAGAGAAGAGATGGACTCAAAGGGCAGAAAAAGACATAATGTTTGTAGACATGGCCACTAGTTAGACTTGTTTTGGTTGATGTTACAAGCACTTTTTTCCTTTTGGATTCTTTAACAAGGAAGGTTTTGGAGGGAGTCAAGAAAGGAGGGGTTAACAATAGAAATGCTACCCCGCCTCCCCGAAAAAGGGCTACTGAAATATTTTGTAAAGCACATAGAAGTAAGTTCAGAAGGAAGCATAGAGAAGAAGGGAATCTTTGAAAGTAACTGTGAAATTTAGTGCACATTCTTTTTTTTCTTTCAGAGGCTCCTCCAGACCACTCATGGATCCAGTCCTGCTGCAGGTCAGCACCACAGCTTTGACCTGCTCTGCTTCCAAACCAGGGCTATTCTTTCCTCTTAAGACAGCCTCTTACTCTGGCCTTGTCTGAGGGCCCCCCATCTTCAGTCCTTGGGTAGCTCAGAACCCCTAAGCTTAAGCAGTTCACCAGCCTCAGTCTCCCTTGGGAGCAGGCATGCACAACCACACCTGGCTCATTAAGTTTGTTTTTTGGTTTTTTGTTTTTTTAAAGCAAACAGTATGAAATGAAAGCTCACAGCCTCATATATAATCTGTTTTTGGTGTTCTGAATCTTTTTTTGGTATTTAAGTTCAAAGTAAAAAATAAAATTAAGTTTAAAAAAATTGTGGAGTGGAGGGAAGGCCTTGAATGAGAGGACTATATCTAAAAATGACCACAATATAAAGCAAAAGGCATTCATAATTATTTTAAATAAATGTTTGTTGGGCTGGTGAGCCAGGGGACTGATACTAGAGAGAGACAGAGAGAGACAGAGACAGAGAGAGAGACAGAGAGACAGAGAGAGACCAGTTAAAGCCCAGTCATTGTCACAGCCAAATCCTTAGGCATATATGCTACTCAAGGTGGGGTCCCTAAGTACTCTGGGCACTCCCTTCATAGGACATAATATGTTACAAGAAACACCAAGACATCAGCAATTGATTGTCTTTGAACCTTAGGCAGCAGGAAAGCCAGACCCCTGCTATTTGACATACTTAATGGAAAAAGCAAAATTTCTGAAAAACATTTTGGTTTATTGAAAAAAAAGTAGATTCTATCCCTTCTACATGACTCTTACCCAGCACCCATGCCTGCTTAACTACTAAGGCCTGGGCTTCCTACCCTAGCAGAACTACTCATTCAGAAGAACAAACAATAAAACACACTTCTGCACACCTGGGCATGTATAAGACCCAGGCTCCTCTCACACACAGGCCCTCAAGATTCAAGGCCCTTCTGTGGCTTAATGTCCACTCCAAACCGTAGCTTCCAGGTGCCTACCAATGCATTTCATAACCAGCTAGGGAAAGTGATAGTTAAAGCAAAAGGCAATTAGCCGAACAGCATCAGGAAACAAGTGACAAGGACAGTCGGACCCTGCCTCTCCCCCACCGTGATCACAGAAGTGCCTTTTGTGCCCGGTAGGGGAGGGGAACCTGCCCAGACATTGTGAGCAGAGGCCCTGGGGCAGGGACCACACAGAGGGAAGGAACATGGACAAGCTCATATGGAGGGGGCATCTGTGGGGCCTCCAGTGTCCTTTGGGGGTGCTGGTCTTCTGCTTTCTGCCCCAGCCATGGTGGAGATGCTCTCTGCAGATTTCTCTGGGTGTTTCCATCTTTCGCTGGGTGTCTTGGGTGTCTCAATTGTCCTGCTATGTCTCTCTGTGATCAGCTGTTGGTCTATGGCTGGTCTGCCGCTCCCCCCCAAATCAGGTGACCTGTCCAGGGCAAAGTCCTAGGGGCCATCTTGGTTGTTTGGTGAGGCAGACCTCAGGATCACTCAGGCAATGAACTTGAGAGGCCTTTAGGGCTTTTTAATTCGGTCTTTTGATGTTTTCTCCCCTGCCCCACAGCCCAGGCTTCTCTCATCTGAATGAGGAGACCACTTTCATATCTTCTCCATTCACAACATGCCAATTATGGCACAGAACAACCACCGAGCTGCGAGGCCAGGACTGAAAGGCACTGGTGACCTTTGTCCTAATTCCCTTTTGTTCTGTATTCCTGCCAGGATAAAATATCCATATGTTTCCATTGAGAGCTTATTGATTTAGCACAGGAGGACAAGTTCAAGACACCCCCACCCCTTTACAGGTGAAGAAAGTGAGGCACAGAGACATGAAGGTCAGAAAAGTAATAGTCAAGAGAGAGAATTGAAGCCTCTCTGGCTCTGACCCCGAAGCAGACCTCTAGTCCTCTGATGCCAACCCTTCTCACTGAGCCGCACAGAGTCACAGTAGATGCTCTTCCATAAAACCTTGTGGGAGTGGCGTGAATTCATCAGAACAGATGGATTTGCCTCGGAAAACTGGATCATTGCAGAGAATGGATGAGAAATGAGGGAAATGAGAGCATCTAGTTTTCGGCCCTTTATTCTGGCCTTCAAATCAAATGCCTTGGCAAATCCAATTAAGTGATTGGAATGTCTGCCTCTCTGTCTGAGAACAATGAGAAATTGCATCTGTCTTGTCTTCCAACCTTGGCTTTTTGGCAGGTCAATCAAAAAATAAAGAAGGGATTATTCCCAGATCAAGGAGAAAGATCCAAATTCCTTATAAGTGGTCTTGTCTCACCCTTCCCACCAGCTAATGCAGCCCATGTGGCTGATGGAGAAAAGGAGATTGGCAGTTCCTAAGGAAGAGCAGACCAAAGTCATCAGCTCTGTCAATGGACAACCATCATTAAGCTTTCTGTGCCCTCCCTCCCTCAAAAGTGAGAGGGCAGTGGTTAAACTGATTAGCTTACTTTGGATGTTGCCCCTCTCCAGTTATGGGATTTAGAATTCTGAGTTCTTTCCAAGAATCACCTGGTGAAAGAATTGGAAATTGAAGGGATGCCCATCAAGTGGGGAATGGCTGAACAAGTTGTGGTATATGAATGTAATAGAATACTATTGTTACCTAAGAAATGATGAGCAGAAAGATTTCAGAAAAACCTGAACTTACATGAACTGATGCTGAGTGAAGTGAGAAGAATCAGGAGAATGTTGTACACAGTAACAACCACATTGTGCGAAAACCAACTTTGAAAGACTTAGCCCTTCTCAGCAATGCAATGATCTAAGACAATTCCAAGGAGTTCATGATGGAAAATGCTGTCAACCTCCAGAGAAAGAACTATGGAGTCTGAATACAGATCAAAGCACACTATTTTCTCTCTCTCAATCTCTCTTTTTTTTTCTTCTTTCTCATGGTTTTTCTCTTTGGTTCTAATTCTCCTTTACAACCTAATGTAGAAATATGTTTAATATGATTGTACAAGTAAAGCCTATATCAGATTGCACATCATCTTGGGGAAGAGAGAGAGAGGAGGGAGGGGGAGCAAATTTAGAACTCAAAACCTTGTAGAAGGGAAGTTGAAAACTATAAATAACCAAAAATATTTTTAAAAAAATAAATTTTAAAAAGAATCACCTGGTGATAGAATTCAGTAGTAATTCTTGCCTTCTACTCTCTGGCCATCACCTCCTCCCCAATGCCTTGCTGCCCTTGAGGACCTTCTGCCCTGGGGTCCACTGTTGACTGGCTCTTCCTAACCACTATTTCAGAAAAAAACCAAAGACCATGCTTCACTCCACTTCCTCCTCTCCAGCCTTTTCTCCCTTACCAATTACCAGGATTCCAGGTGCATACCCTTTCCTCCACCCCGCTCCTGGCCCTCTTCTCTAGTCAGCCTACCCTTTGTCATCATTTCATTTCACAAAACAGAATAGCAAAATCTGCCATATCACAAAATAGAATAGTAGAGTCAGAAGAAAACTCATAGAACAGCCCCTCTCCTTAACACTCCCTCTCCCCTCCCCCTTCCCCCATCTCACCCCCCCTGCAAATTTTGGAATGATGAACCAAATCCATTTTCTGGGGTGTCAATCTACTTTTTGTAGGGCCCCACTGACCATTCTTGTAACTTTCTAGTGGCAATCCCCTTTTTGTGCTCCCCGCAACAGATGAAAGGTACTCCCTTTGGTATGGTATCTCCTTATAGCTTAGAACTTGGTAAACAGGAAGTGTTTAAGAATAGTTTTTCATTCATTCATGAGGAATCAGAGATGAAAGGGGCCCTGAAGACCATCTAGTCCAACTTTTCCAATTAACATATGAGGAAGCTTGGGCCAAAGAGGAAAGTTACCCAAAACTATTGTTTTCATGATGAATGTCAACTCATTTATTTAAATTAACAATAAAATAATAGCATTTCCATTTTTTAAAAACAGGCCCAAAAGTCTTTCCTTTTGGACACAAAGTGATCCCCATCCTTACGCACAGGAGACCAAAGGCACGTCACTGGGACTTATTCCTTCTTGGAGCCAGAGTCAGGCCCCTCTCTTGAATGTCCAAAATCACAGCCTTGGGTAAGAACGGTGCCCCAGCCTCCATGGAGCTGCTTATATATCAGTGGCTTATGTAGAACAGACACTGCAAAAGGAACCACTGGCCATGATTCAAACCCACGTCTTTGGATGCATAGGCTCTTTTCTACACTGGGCCATTTGCTGAGCCTCGCACTAGCCCAGGATTACCACCTGCAGCATGAACTCTTGGTCTTAGCAGAAGTGACAAACATCCTTAGCTCTATGGATGCTCTTGTAACCAGGCAGATACATTGGTAAGAAGTCTCACTAGAGAGAAGAAGATCATCGTTGGCCAAGGAACAAAGCAAGACCTGTGGCCAGCCAGGGACTGAACCTCCAACCCTGCCCTCACTGACATGAGCTCTTTCATATGGAACTCCCAGCCAGCTTCCTTTGGTCCACTCATGTGTTTTCACTAAGGGCTCTCCCTTCTAGCCATCACCTCCCATATCACAGAACAGAAGGGTAGACTCAAAAGGAGACATAGACAACATCTTGTCAGAGAAGCTAATGGACAGCCCGGGTCATTGGCAGCCTCTTGACATCTAAAAAAATAGGAAGGTTTCCCTCCTCGCAGAGCTACATGAGACAGACAGACAGACACGCAGGAGTGCATGGCTTGGATCCACATGGTTGGAGGCGACATCAGGATTGACCAGATCACACATCCCAAGGGTGAGGCTCTAGAGGAGATGGGGAGGCCTGTCTCTCTCATCCCTCCGACATTTTTCTTCCCATTCATCAGTACTGCCCTTTGTATTGAATGTCTGCCCTGAAGATCAGGGTTTTTCAGAAGAAACCTCTGAATGCTTTGTGCCTTCTCCATTTAATGTGCACAGCGCTCCAGGATAGATTTCAAATCATTCTCAATTATTTTCAAAGGGGAAAAAACCGAAAAAACAAACAGGTATCCATGCAAAGAACATGAGTAGATAATGAAAAATTACCAAGGGAAAAGTCACTTGCTAACCCAGAGACCTTTCCTTCTAATTTCCAGTCTGTAATCAGTTGTTAAAAGTGAGATATCATTGTCCATAACACACCCTTAACTCTATTTCTGCAGAAATGCTACAAACCTCTGCTATCACTGGAAAGCAGTGGCTTTGAATGCACAAAGTTAATTTTTAGGGGGAGCTCAAGTCGCAGAGAGAAATGATATTATTTCAGCTTGAAATTGATTTTGTGGGATGACAGTCC